CAAGCATAACGCTGCTCGCAGCTGAGGACCAACTAAACAAGCCGCTGTGCATCACCTCGGCTTAGAAGGGCCGCCCAGGGTTGAGGGTTTAGGGTTTAGGGTTTGGGGTTTGGGGTTTGGGGTTTAGGGTTTGGGGTTTAAGGCAGCTTGGGGTCTCTCAACTCTCACCCCCAACAATGCCAAGCCGAATCCCAAGATCCAGCCCAACCACCCAGGGCTAGGGCTTCACCCAGGGACGTCGCCCTTACCGAGGTCTCGGGCACAGTACGCTGAAGCTCAAAGTCCTACTTGAGGGTTCATGGCTTCTTACAACCCCAATTAGGGCTTTAGGGTTTAGGGTTTGGGGTTTAGGGTTTAGGGTTTGGGGTTTAGGGTCTAACCCCAATTATGAGTCTACTTAACAACCTACCCACACCACTTGGGGACTTGTAAGGGGCCTCTTAAAAGTGCAGCTATACTTAGGGTTGTAAACCCTAAACTCGAAGAAAAAAAGAAAAAAAACTTACCCTGCTATAACTAGTTCATGATTGGGATAGTATTAAAATTTAAAAATTATATTCCTTATTGGGTTTAAGTACCCTTAAAAATGTAAAATGTTACCCAACTACGACAAAGATAAGTGCCCTGAACCTCCCAGGTAAACGTCCAGGCCCTGAGTCCTGAGATCAGCCCCTTGAAGAGGGTTTAGGCTTCAGGGGTTTAGGGTTGAGGGGTTTAGGGGTTTAGGCGGGGTTTTGGTTCAGGGGGTTTAGGGTTTAGGGTTTAGGGTTTAGGGTTTAGGGTTTAGGGTTTGGGGCTTGGGGCTTATGGGGCTTGTGGGGCTTATGGGGCTTATGGGGCTTAGGGAGACGGGCTTAGGGTTTGGTGTTGAGGGTTTCCCCTTCTGTCCTTGGAGTACAGAAACAAAAAGCTCGACGAAGCCGGGCCACCACATTGACCAGACCCACGAGGGCCAGGGCTGTTAGGAGGCACCTTTGAGGGGTTTAGGGTTGAAGGTTTAGGGTTTAGGGTTTAGGGTTTTAGGGGTTCAGGGGTTCCGGGGTTTAGGGGTTTAGGGGTTTAGGGGTTTAGGGGTTTAGGGGTTTAGGGGTTTAGGGGTTTAGGGGTTTAGGGGTTTAGGGGTTTAGGGGTTTAGGGGTCTAGGGGTTGAGGATAGTCAACTTCAGAGTTTGCTGAAAGTTGGGGTTCAGGGTTTAGGGATTTAGGGCTTAAGGGTATTTGGCTTTAGGGGTTCAGGGTGTAAGAGGAGGCAACTTCGAGCCCGGAAACTTCAGAGCTTGCTGAAGTTGGGGCTCAAGGTTCAGGGTTTAGGGGTTGAGGGTTTAGGGGTCTAAGGGTGTCAGGCTTTAAGGTTTGGGGTTTAGGGTTAGGGTTTAGGGTTTAGGGCTTAGGGTTAGGTTTAGGGCTTTGGGCTTTGGGCTTTGGGCTTAGGGCTTAGGGTTTAGGGTTTAGGGTTTAGGGTTTAGGGTTTAGGGTTTAGGGTTTAGGGTTTAGGGTTTAGGGTTGAGGGGCGTGTTTGGGGTGCGCGCTGCATGGCTTGAGTGTTTAACACAGAGTCATGTGGGGGCTGAAGCCTTAAAACCGAAATCTCTCAACGGCCGGAGGGTCAGGGTTTTCGATCCTGTCGGGAGGCTCTGCAAAAGCAAAATCGACAAAAGCCGCTAATGTCCCTGGTTTAGGGCTTAGGGTTAAGGGTTTGGGGTTTTGGGTTTTGGGTTTAGGGCTTCATGGCTTTGGCGGTGAGAAAGGCGACTCGAATACTGCACCCCGACACACGGGCCAGGAAGCGTGTGGTCTTAGGTCGCGCCACTACCATCCCACCCCGCGTTGCAAGCCAGCTCTTGACATAAAACTCACATGCCCTTGGGTCTACCCTTCCCAAAAACAAACATGCCACATGCAAATTCTCAGAACCGAGGAAAACCCCCTAAATCAGGAAAAGAAGCCTCGAGCGCCTACACTTTATGTCCATGCTCTGCCGGCTCTTTGAGGGGGAGAACCCTCTGCCGTCCGAAGCACGTGGCACTCAAGAATGCCCTCTGCTTCGGAACGGAGCTGAAGGTGTGAATCACCGCTTGCTCCGGCGCGCCGCCGTCCCTCCTTGCTTGGAGGGTCATGGTACTTACCCTAAACCCTAAACCCTAAACCCTAAACCCTAAACCCTAAACCCTAAACGTTCTCATTGGTTCATAAGTACCATGAACCTCCAAGTGTGGGGCTCAAGATGCAGACTTGGGAGTTGGCAGACGTATAGGGGGGATTTCCGAAATTCGGGGCTACCTTCTTGGGGTCAAGGGTTTCCCTTATTGGGTTTGTTTGGGGTTTTTAGGGTTTAGGGTTTAGGGTTTAGGGTTTAGGGTTTAGGGTTTAGGGTTTAGGGTTTAGGGTTTAGGGTTTAGGGTTTAGGGTTTAGGGTTTAGGGTTTAGGGTTTAGGGTTCAAGGTTTAGGGTTCTAACTAGAAGGGAATCCTACTATTTGAGGTCTCTATTCGGGGCCCCTGAATTGTCGTAAAACGCCCTTTGCTCAAAACTATGCCAAAATCTGCGACGGCCACAAAAAAACCCAACCACCCGAAAGTGCAGCAGGGTAGGATAACCCCCTAAGTTGAAAAAAACGCAGACTTCTGAATACTACCATGAGTGGCAATAGATATTTGTACAACGATCCTTTAAAACCACATCCCACTCGCTCTTCCACGCAATGGATGCTGGCTTGTCTCAACTTACGCTTCTTAAAGGTACTTTCGGTTGCAAAGCAGTAAGTACCCATGAACCTCGAGGTAGATCCAGCTTCAAAAAAACCCTGGGCACCCTCTGGGGTGTCTGATTCTCACATCTTCCCCAGGTTCTTGGGCCTACCGGCCATCTTGTGTGGAGCTTGGGTTTGGGGTTTAGGGTTTAAGGAATCAGGGAGCAAGGGTTCAGGGTTTAGGGTTTAGGGCTTAGGGTTTAGGGTTTAGGGTTTAGGGTTTAGGGTTTAGGGCTTAGGGTTTAGGGCTTAGGGTTTAGGGTTTAGGGTTTAGGGTTTAGGGTTTAGGGTTTAGGGTTTAGGGTTTAGGGTTACCCTCAGCCTAAGCTGCGATGCACCCCAAAGCCCTCCGAACGCAAGCTCTTCAGGGGCACAAGGAGGGACCCCTAGAAGGGAACCTTAATCTTCGTCCCCTATATAACCCCTGCATATACCGTATATGGCCCCTCCATACCTAAGTAGCCCGTAAATTGCGGGACCGGATAACCCCACATGTGTATTTTATCTTTTCGCAAAGAGTGTATAAGTGAATACGAATGAGTGAGTGAGGGCGTAAGCGAGTGAGCGGGGGGGGGGGGGTGAGCGGGTGAGTGCGTAAGTGTGAGTGCCGCCTGCCCCCCCACGCGCGCACGCGGCCGGCACAGGGCCCCCAAGTGCATGAGACTGAGTGAGTGAGTGAGTGAGTGATGATAACTGATGACTGAGTATGTGCTGTGTGGGTGAGTCGAGCCTGTGCAAGCGGCAGATGAGATGAGTGGCGCACTGTGTGTGTGTGTGTGTGTGTTGGTTGTGTGTGTGTGTGCGCGTGCGTGAGACTGAGTGAGTGATAAGTGATGAGTGAGTGTGTGCTGTGTGGGTGAGTCGAGTCCGTGCGTGATAGCACAAGCGGCACCTGTAGATAAGATGAGGAAGAGACTGAGGAGAAGAAGGAGAAGGAGGAGGAGGCGGGAGAGCCCCAAAAGTAAGAACCCCACACAAAGATGTGGGGAATAACCCCGACATAACCCCTAAGCCTTGAAACTCTTGAAGTGCGGGTCTCAAAAGCTATGTAGGCTCGAAGGTTTCGGATTGGGATGTTCCCCCTCATACTAAAAGCCCTTAATATGGATTACAATAACAACGGGTACTATAATCCCTATTAGAGGACTGTTAAAGGTTTTGGGTCGAAGTTTGGGGCAACCGAAGCCCCCTCTCTCTTACTCTTGCCTTCTCTTGGGCATGGGAAACCCCTGCGCCGCGGCGCGCCCACCCCCCCCCCCCCTCTCTCTCTCTCTCCCTCTCTCTCTCCCACTTTCTCTCTCCCACTTTCCCGCTCTCTCTCTCTCTCTCTCTCTCTCCCTCCCTACCCGCTCGCAAGGCAAAGGTGAACGAGCGGCGGCAGTATGAGGCACTCTTGGTCGGCATCTTCCAGGGGAGCGAAGCTGCGCACCAGTTCGCGCTTCGACTCCGCCTTGGGGGGGCGCTGCCGGGACTTGAGGCGCGGCATAAATGCCGGGGCGGGCCGTGCTTGGGCCAGTTTAAGGCGTTTAGGGTTTAGGGTTTAGGGTTTAGGGTTTAGGGTTTAGGGTTTAAGGTTCAGGTTTAGTTGGGGGCTGAGAGGGATCAAAGTTTCGGAAGAGATGGGGGAACAGGCGGAAGAATACATCTGGAGAACTGATACCCTCTGCCCACAGCACTCAAAACCCCAAACCCCAAACCCCTAAAACCCCAAACCCCAAACCCTAAACCCTAAACCCCTAAAACCCCTAAAACCCTCAAAACCCTAAACCCTAAACCCTAAAACCCTAAACCTCTAAAACCCTAAACCCCTAAACCCCCTAAAACCCTAAGCCCTCAGCCCCCCCGAGCCTCGGCCGCAGGGCAGACGTCCGTAGGGCAGACCATGACGCCGACCACACGTGTCGTGCTTGAGCCAGCATTCTTTTTTTGAGCATGCCCTCAACCCTAAACCCTAAACCCTAAACCCTAAACCCTAAGCATCTTCTTTGGGAGGCTTGCGGGTTGTGGGCTTCGAGTTATTACATCTCAAGTTCTACGGGGATCATGAGAAAACAAGAAGAGGGAAAACAAATCTAGCAACGAAGGTGCGATCTCACATTCTTGTGCACTACTGCGGTCTGCAGCTGGAGGGCCATGAGCTTGGCCGGGACATTTTCTCCAATCGCAACTTCCATCCCAACCTGATCTAGCACATTCTGCGCTGCCAGCGGGAGAAAGGTAAGGGTCTCACGGTCGTTTGAGTATCTGGGTCCTATACAGAGAAGGTCGACAGTATGGGAAGCAGGTCGGTATGCCCTGCTGCCCTCGCCAGGTCTTCCGGCATGTCTCCCCGATCATTAGCAAGATGCCTTAGTTGTCCAGTAACCTGGGGGAATTAAAAGTTAACCTTTGGGATTATAAGCGGATTCCAAAAAAGGTTAAAGGTTAACTACTCTACTACTGGGATGCTCGGCATCATGTTCCAAGAGCAGCTTCACCAACCTCTGGTCGCCCGTGACGGCGGCAATCGACAGCGCTGTGGCCCCTGGAAAGGAGGCCATCTGACCTTGGCTGCCTTGTTAAGAAACCCAATAAACCCAAAAAAGGGTAAGGATCTAAAGTTACACTGAAGCACCGCAAAGTGACGCTGGTAGACGCTGCACCCCTCAAGCCCCCAGCGGGCAGCCCAAGCTTGCGCTTTCATGCACTCATCGTAGAGGAGCCCTTGCGGCTTGGCCGGAGCATTTGCGTCGCCGCGCGCGGACAGGAGCATCTGCAAGATCTCCGGGGCATCGGGATTGCAACGGCCAGCGAAACACAGGCCGTACAGGGGCCCCCAGCCATTTTGAGCGAGGGTGCCCGGGTGACAGCGGGCCTCCAACATGGCCTTCACCGTGCTGGCCGAGGCCGCGCCGACCGCGCCCGTCAGCGGGGGTGACGCGGCGAAGTCTGCCTAGGATGGCCCCCTAAAAACCCTCTGAAAAAATATTTTTGAAGTATGATCCTCTATTAAAACCAAGCAAGGGAAAAATGCAACATGTCCCAACGGCCTACCTAGCTTCCTTCATCTCCAGTAACACCTGTACATGGCCAGGTCGTGTTGCTAACATTGCAGCGGTCACTCGTGACCCGGTCTCGGAGACGCAAGCCAGGTTGGGATCTGCGTGTGCCATTATGAGTGTGGACAGTATCTGCGGCTCTTGAGAGTTATAAGCAGCAACCATGAGCAGAGTTAGAGAATCGGAGTACCCGAAATGCACCAGACCGCGGACACCTGCGTTCACATCCGCACCATGTCGGACCAAGGTTTGCACGATGTCACCATCGCCAGCGACGATTGCGCACAGCATGCCCGTCATGCCGCCTTCATGCTTCACGGCGCTCTGGAGACTCGGAAACTTAAAGTGCCGCAAGAAGCTCTGAAGACTGAAGCCTCCTTGCCGTTGACCAAGCAACCTCGGCTCCTGTGCCAAGTGGAAGCGGTAGTCGGTCAAGGGCCCCCACTGATTCAAGTGCTTCGTCTTGCTCCTCAAAGCCTTGGTAGCCCGGTAACCAGAGCACAAGAAGGGCACCCGTTGTTGGGGTTGGCTACTGCATAAAGGGAAACCCTTGAACCAAAAAAGAAAAAAAGGGCAAGGGGCACCACTGGGCTGCCAAGAATCCGTCTCCCCAAGATTCATCACCACGGCACGATCGCTCTCCACGGTGAACAAGCCATCGGCGATCAGGCTCCTCTGCCAGTCTGTAGGCCTTAGCAGCCCAGGAACCATATTATAATAAGGGCACCCCCTTTTTTTTTGGTTGGCTACTTTGTAAAGGAAACCAGAACCAAAAGAAAAAAGGGTAAAGGGCACCACTGGGCTCCAAGAGGCATGATGTAGAGCGCCTCCCTCCCCGAGAAGATCAGGATCACCCTTGTGTCCTCACGATTTGATAGCACGCGACACCACAGCTCCGCACGACACCAGCCTTCAGGGGGCGAGACAGACATGTTTTGCATTATTATTGTCAAGCAAGATGTATTAGTTTTTCGATACCTAAGGTACAACGGCACATTGCTGCACTGGCAAAAATTTCTGTTCGTCTGAATAAGCATGCTGAACCCTAAACCCTTGCCCTGCCAAGCCATCTCTCAAATCTGTCCTTTCTCTCAATCTTCCCTCGCAAAGCCAACACCTACATCTCGAGAACTTCAACTTTGCACCCCCGCATCCGTATCCTACTACTGTATCTCAATATACATCTACCCCAATATTGTTGCTAAACAAGAACCAAAACACGCATGCTGTGCAATACATTCCCCAATGTATTGGGGGTTTCCGGGCTTCGGAGTACCTTATTGGGGTCCTTATTAGAAGGAATTCTACTAATTGAGGGTGTATATTCCCCAATGTGGCTCACGAAGCGAAGCCCACCGTGCAGCCGCACGGCGACGGACATGCTTCTTCGATCTGGGAATGTTGCTTTCCCGAAGCTCTAAACCCTAAACCCCAAAACCCAAACCCTAAACCCTAAACCCCGGGCTACATGTTGGGTTACTTCTGGCTGCCTCAACCGTTGCTTCCTTTTCTTTCTGACCAAGCCTTTCCTTCGTCCTTGGTCTCTCTTCTCCCCCCCTCCTTTCGCAACTTATTTCCGGCATTACATGCGCCCTATCCCAAGCTTCACCGCCACCCTCCCCCTCCCCCCGAACCCTGAACCCTAGACCCTAAACCCTAAGCCCTAAACCCTAAACCCTCTTATCTTGGCGACGACTGAGCTTTCTCGGCATCCCATGGCCCCCAGCCTCGAGAAAGCCAAGTGCTATAGTTGCATTGCAGCCCGGTATCACTGTGAACAAGGTCCGGGACGAGCGCCACGAACATGTCGCAACTTTCGACATAGGCTGGAATGCTCTGAACTGCTCGAGCTGTATCTGATCTCGTGGCATCATCATTGACCCCATCGGTTCTCTCGGTAATCTGCGGAATCGCAAACCAGTCCAAGAAGATATACCCAGTGGCCACGCGCTCGTAGCTCGTGGTGTCTCTTGGATCTCCTAAGGTGCGCATGAGATCTATCTCCACCTTCATAGATCCGTCTATGAAGGCCCGTAGGGCATGCCGCAACACGGTCATCTGCTGCCCAGACGGGTCCGGAAACTTCGCGCCTAGCCATTGGTGCGAGACGAAGATGGCAAACATTCCCATCTGCCACTCGTGAAGCAAGCCCTTCTGCCGCAACACGTGGTGTGGCTCAGGAGCACCCTCCATGTCCAGAAAGTCTGAGACCTTGACCACGTACATGGGAAAGGAGCACTGGTGCACCATGGCAGTGCAGCCATCTACGCCATCCCAGGCTCTGCCCTCCGATGCCTGGGAGCAGCCCATGGCTCCAGGGGGCCACAGAAAGCCTTGGGGAAGCTTGAGCCCTGTCCCCGAATTGTGGGGGGGGGGGTTCTCCGAATTTTGTGGGGGTACCTTGTTGGGGTCCTTTTGCTAGAAGGTTGGGGACTGAACAAGGGGTCCCTGATGTTCGTGAACTCCCATGTCTCTTTAGGTGCCAATCGGGTTCTTCGAACCTTTGGGGGGCCAAGACATACAGCTTTTGGGCTTAGGGGCCCCCAACCCTCCCCAAAAGTAGTAGGTAATATCTGCGATGGGTATCAGGGGAGGCTTAGGGGAAGTTTATGATGTCTGCGGTTGGCTCTGTTTTTCTGTTACTTCATGGGACCGAACCCTCAGCCCTGAGCCCCTAAACCCTGGGCCCTAGAGCGTAAACTCAAGGGCCTGTAGCAGCTGAAAGAGTGGGGCGCAGGGCTTTCATGAAAATTCTTTCAGACAGCTTCGGTTTCCTACTCGGAAGCACATTTCTGCATGCATCGTGCCCAGCCACGCAAAATCGGATCTAGGAAGGCTCCATTCTTGATTGTCCTTCAGAAGGGTCGCTGAAGAGTCAAGGCCCCAAAGCCCTAATGTAAAGGTCTGAATTCTGGATAGTTGGAGGCAGTCTCCCTTTTTTCCCGCAGTTTTCTATGATAAGCCCGGAAGCCCCCTGTTGAAGATATTGACGCTGACTTCAATTCGCTGGCTACTGTCCTGATACCATGTAATGAAGCAGAAGATCAAAACCACAGGGGCTAGCGTCTGGGGTTGGGGACTTTTCGAGCCTGCAGTTTAAGGTTTCAGACCACTTGTCACGTTCTCGTTCAGGTCTCAGAGTGCAGAGTTTAGGAGCTTCGGAGAATACAGTAGAGTTCAGGGCATTTCGGGTCTTCCAGGAAGCCGCACTGCGAAATGCAGGACTGCAATGGCACTGTTTCTGCCTTGGGCCAGTTGGACATCGCCTTCGGCAGCAGCTTCCGGCCCAGGGGCCTAGAGGTAGCAGCCTGCCATGCAACGATGCAACGCCGCACAAGGAAGCACAAAAGAAAGCGAGCTCAGAAGGCCAACACAGCACCGCAGTGCTCTGCCTCGGCTCCGGGGTCCGCTCCAGACTTTGCCCGTTTGCCGCACGTCGCCGGGCCCTGCAGGAGCTTACACAAGAGCACAGCATAGCACAGGATGATCGTAGCTCAAGCGATTCTCTTGCTGCAAAGGCTCTGGCATGTTTGTCCTCAGGTCGCATACGCAACGCACGACCTCTGCACTGCCTCTGCGTGGCGCAGGCAAGTCCTGCTTCCAGCGCAGATGTGGTGCAAATCAGGGTTAAACGCCTTCGCGTCCCCGATCTAGACAACTAAAGCTCTGACCTTCTCGGAGTAAAGGGGATGTACCCACGCGGCGGCATCTAGCACGCCCTCTAAGAATCCTCTGAGATCTCTACGACTCGAAGACTCTAGGCCCGACTCTAGGCCGACATCACGCGCAGGTGCGCGCAGAACTGACTCCACGCAGGGCACTTCTCAAGGCAGCGCTGGTCGCCGAACTGCTCCACCACCGTCTCTACTGGGACCATGAGCTCCTCCGAGATGATGCCCTGGGGCGCGTTGTTCAAGGTGAGCTGCCTGTAGAACTGGACGCGGGGGAGCTGCAGAGCCTGGAACTCATCGAAGGCATCCTGGAGCTTGTCCCAGCCATGCTTCGCGATCATCTTTGCCAGGAGGAAGGCGTCCTCGGCTGCCAGGGAGGCACCCATGCCGGCCCAGGGCTGGATTGCTTGCACGGCGTTGCCGATGCACACGGCACCCATCTCGCCGTTGCCCCACTGCTTCAAGGTGGTTGGGTCACGGTCCAGGAAGAAGCCGGCATAGCGGAAGCCCTCCTCTGGGGTCAAAGCTGTTTTTGGCAGCGTGTCGCCCTCAGCTACGAGGTCATGGGCAAGCTTTTGCACGTCCGCCTTGGACTCCCAGAAAGTGCGGTAGGCCTTCGGGGAGCTCGTGGGGGAGTCATGCTTCTCGCGGTCTGTGTGGACAAGAGCCCACCATGTCATCCTCTTGCCCTCACTGTCGATGATCTCGGAACTCACCAGGGAAAAGGTGGCCGCGACCACGATGTTGAAGGCATCTTTGTGGTGGATGTCGGGGACGCCAGGAATCATGCCATGGATGATGTTGGCCCCAACATGGCGCGCGGGCACGTCATCAAAGCAAGCCCTCCGGACGGCAGAATGCACCCCATCGGCGCCGACGACCAGGTCAACTCCCGTCACCTCCTCGCCGTTGGAAAGCGGAGTGTTTTCTTGCCGCCCTCGCCCTCTGGCAGAACGGCTTCCAGCTTGTGATCCCAGTGAAGGTGCTTGGTGCGGCTTTCGCAGGAGGACTCCCTTATCACCGCCTCCACGTCGTGGCCCAGAGCCTTCATCACAATCTGGAAAGGAGGACCAAGGGTGAGCTCAACCCCTTGCGACATGTTGAAGCTCTTGAACTGGGCATAGACATGGACGTCGACATCCTCACCGAACTCGCGCTTCATGGAAAGGGCCGCGACTATTCCGGCGGAGCCAGATCCGATGATGGCAACGGTGCGAGAAGGCATCGTGGGACTGTGGGCTGGCACTGGATCGCAACTGCACCCTCTCTTCCTGAAAAAGCCTGCCTCCGGCACATATCACATGGCTCGAAACAAATCAAAAAAGTGAGCGCCCCTTGGAGACTTGACTCCGCATGACTCCGCTGGGGCGGTTGCGACTTTGCACCCGCCCGGCTGCTGGAGAGAGCCTCGTTTCGGAATTGCCCTGGCAGAGGCATGCTGAGGTGAAAGTTGAGGCTGCCGCTTGAATTGCTTCCAGTGGAGAGTGCAAGCATGTCTAGATCTGCTGTGGGCTGTGAATGCTATCCGCAACTCCCTTTGCACCTTGCCACTGGTGTGGCGGGTGCTCTCCGAGCTCTTCTGGCATATTGCTTCAGGTCCGAGCTACTTGTAGCTTCTCATCGACCCATAGGGCCCAAAACGCGCATACTTAGCAAAGCCAAATTCCCGAACCCATTCCTGCGTTGAGGGAGTTGCGAGAGTCAAACTATCCCTCGCCCTGAGTTACAAAGCCCAATAATTTTTCAATACCTCCTAGGAAAGGAATATAGCAGCACCGCCGAAAGCATCTAGAAGTGGACATTCTGCAGGGAGCTTTGCAGCGAGACTGCCACAGAGGCTGCTCCCCCGTGCCGATGCTGACGTTGAGGATGAGACGGTGCTTCTCGGCAGCATTAGGGTTTATCCAATACAGACTCAAGGATCGAAATATTTGCCTTTTCAAGGAGCGGAGAACGCCCTAAACCCTAAACCCCAAACCCTAAACCCTAAAACCTGCACCCTAAACCCTAAACCCTAAACCCTAAACCCTAAACCCTAAACCCTAAACCCTAAACCCTAAACCCTAAACCCTAAACCCTAAACCCTAAACCCTAAACCCAAACCCTAACCCTAACCCCTAACCCTAAACCTAACCATTAAACCCTAAATCCCTAACCCGAAACCCGAAATTCTAAACCCTGAACCCGAAACCCTAAACCCTAAACCCTCAACCCTAAACCCTAAACCCTAAACCCTAAACCCTAAACCCTAAACCCTAAACCCTAAACCCTAAACCCTAAACCCTAAACCCTAAACCCTAAACCCTAAACCTAAACCCTACACCCTACACCCCACACCCTACACCCCCTTAAAAAGCCCTTGAAAGGATGGGGAGCCGACGCCAGGGTGGTGGCTGAACGCCACAGCAGAGCTCTTTGGAGGGATCCAAGAGTATGGGAGCCTCACAGCCTTCAAGGTTTAAGGGTGTTTTGCGTTTGTTTTGGGATGTAGCCGTTAGTTTAGGGCTTGTAGGTTTTCTGGTTTTGGGTCTGGTTCAGGGGTGAACTACGGCTCCAGGATTTGCGGCTTTGCATTTAACAGCTTGCCGAGGTTGCTTGGCCTTTAATGCTTAAGGCAGGGTTTTGGGTGTATTCTTGAGTGATTATGTAAGGGGCCAGTTGAACTGGCTTTCGGCGTCTCGAGTTTATATGATCGCGGTCTTGGACTACCCCCTGCAACCGAAACCCTCACGACCTCAAGCCCCCGTATTTTTCTACAAGGCACCAGACCGGGTTTAGGGTTTAGGGTTTAGGGTTTAGGGTTACCTGCTCTTCTTCTTTTTTGCTTACTATCCCAAATTGCGGTTTATGACTGTTGCTGTTGCTACTGCTGTGTTATTTGTACTCTTCTTCGTGTTGCTGGTATTACCACTCTTGCGAACTGACATTGGTTGGGGGTGAAGATGAAAGCCCATTTTATAGGGGCTTCGACATGCATAGTGCAGTCCGACTTTTGAACAACCCACACATGTTCAGGTTTAGGAGCTGTAGCAGTTTATGGACATCATACTGTATATATATATATATATAGAGATGTATACAGACATATAAAACACAACAAGAATACATACATACACATATGTATAAGTATACTTATAAATATTAATATAAAAAAAACAAATAAACAAATAAATAAACATACAAATATAAATATAAATATAAATATAAATATAAATATAAATATAAATATAAATATAAATATAAATATAAATATAAATATAAATATAAAAATATAAATATAAATATAAATATATATATATATATATATATTTCAATGTAAATATACATATACATAATAAATATACATATGAATACAAAAAAAAAGATTTGAAGAAAGATTGGCTGCACAGGGGTGCAGGCGCAGGAGATTTGCAGGTGGTGTCCACCGTCAACAGCGGCAACGTCACGGCGGAGGTGCTGAACGGCTCCTGGGCCATGCAGGCTCGGGTGAGCTCTCCGCCTCTTTCACGGGGCGCGTGCAGCTTTACGCCCAGAACCAGGCATCTTCCTGCACACCTTCTTGGCTGGCGAGGCCTTGCAGCGGTACATCGACCAGCGCGACCAAATCCTTGGAGAGGTCACTATGTCTTCGACATCAGGCAGCCAAGCGCTTGTTCATCGCCCTATCGGCTCTTTGTCGTGGGACGCGCATTGTTGCTTGCAGGATGGCATGCGGCTCAGCCGAGGGTCTTCTGAACTTTATTTGCAACAAATCCCAGGAGCGCGGAGAAGCATGACATCTGGTCGTTGCAGCATTCTGCGTCTCAGTTGCGCGCAAAGGAAAAAATCTCCAGCGACTGGCCGTTGCAGCATCTTCAAAAGGTCCATTGCTCGGTTTTCCACATGACATCCTTAATATTTCCTCTGTAGGTTGCCTCCCATCTGCCCTGCGCATCTGTGCTTGCCGCTCTAACCCCGTAGGCCCATCGTTGTTACAGAGTGTTGCCCCACACAGGCCTCTACTGCACACCTACGGCAACCAGATCCGAGAGTCCTGTTGCTTGCATTTATTTCCGGCAGACCGATTGTCTGAAGCGTCACACTCAACCACAAGTCTCTGCTTATTCACTAACGTGTAGGAACCGGCTAAACGGGACGTTTACCGAACACCCTGCGGCACCCAACGCGGGAGAGAGGACCACTAAAGAAGGAGCCTGCAACGAAAGAGCCTGCGGTTGTGCCGGCCGTGAGTCCTAATGCTCTGGATGCTGCGTACGACGTCCACCCAGGCCCCCGGACACGGCATTTCCGGAGGGGATTAGGACGGTTGAGGCATCACAGCCCCCTTGCGCTAAGTCTCCCACGGACTCATGACGGAAGCAAGAGCTGCCTCCAATGCAGGTCATGCCCAGCCGTGCGCGTTCCCATACCACCTCAGATGGCCATCGCTGTGGAAGATTGTGGCTGATCAGTGATGTTTTTGTCATGTTTTGGATCAGCTTGTAAAGGTTTGTTTTGCTTCGAAGTGATTGGGAATCCGTGTGATCCCATCCTCGATGGTTTATGCTTCGTTGATTTCCAAGGAAATCATACGAGTGTGTTTTTGCCCAATACGCTATTTAAAGTGAGTGTGCAGTGTGTAGGACTTCGTTCTGAAGCTGAGTTTAAGCTCACAAGAGAGAATTCGTTTAGTTTGTGCACTTCGTGACTTTTGACTCAAGTAGCTCTGACTGTGAAAAAGAGAGAGTTGTCCGCACTTGTGTGAGAGGTCAGGGTTCGTGCTTTCAAGGGAAAAGGTTCCAGAGGGACCTTTGGTTTTTCACGTGGTAGCGGAGCTTGTGCCTTGTGGTTCGAGCCCGTGTATGGTCTTTGGTTGTTTGTCAGGACTCTGTGAGTGCCTGGAGGCAAGTTTGGGTTTGGAGCCCAGACTGCCAGTGGACCGGAGTCTTTTGTACTCGGACCGTTCTAAGTGAGTACCGGGAAGCCTATCCTGTGAGGAGGCGGATCCGGACGCATCAGGCTTGGAAGCAGTTGGTTCAGCGGCTGTTGAGGCACTTTGAAGCCCGGGCAGGGTGGTTTGTCTGGAACTGGATTGGTTGTGACCGATCTTGGAGGAATACGGTGCTTGGTAGAGTAGAACTAAGGTTCTTCAGGAGCCTGGACCATCTGGTGTTGGTGAGAGAATTTTCGCCAGAAGACGTTGTGGAGAGACTGCAGGCTGGAGCCTGAGTTCAGGAACTATGTTGAATACATCCCCACGACATACCAGTGGAGCTCATGTGAGGAGTCCAAGAGGTGGACGAGAGCGTGGAAGCTCTGTGCCCATCATGGATGCTGAGACAAGGCGAAGGGTAGACCCTTTTCCGGGTTTGGGAAATCCCAACCCACTGTGGGTGCAAGGTTTGGCACAAGGAAGCCAACCTGTGTATGGCCCAGTGCCCAGAGGTCGAACTCCCGCCAGAAGCCCTCATGGGGTAGCTACTGGAGCACCCCAACAGACAATGGGAGGCCCTTCGTTTCCCCCTGGTTTGCCTCAGCAAGCGGTAGGAAGTCCTTCGTTACCACCAGGACTATCCACTGGACCTCCTCAACCTGTGGTGACACCATCACAAACATCACCCGACGTGCAAGGGTTGACGAGACAAGTGCGAGAATTGGAAAGCATGATGCAGCAACTGGTTGTGCAGCAACAGCAGTTTATGCAAACGATGACTTCGTCCATGGTGCAGCAACAGCAGCAGCATCAGCAGTGGATGATACAGCAGCATCAGCAACAGCAGCCACAGCAACAGCAACAGGTGAATCCCCC